TTGGTTCATAAATTATTACAACTTGCTTTGTCCTCTTAGAAACACCCCTGATACCTTACAATCATCCTTATTCTGGTAATAATCAAATGTTGCAAACCAATCTAATCTAAGATATGAGATTGTCTATCTCTAAGGAGTCTGTTTTATTTATAGTATAAACAAAATATGGAGAATAGCATCAGACAGCAAAATTTGAGTGCATATAAGTGTTGGTTTTGGTTTCTACTAGCTATGTTTTAGTGTCAGAACTGAGGAAAATGTGTATTAAAGGAATTTATTTTCTCAGATTTAGGAGATCATATAGTTGTCCCAATTCTTCTATGATACGGTTTTGTTGACGTTTGAAATGTTCTATTATATCGAGCCTATTTCTATGCAAATGAATACATTTCTACCCAACATTTTAAAGTTGGAACACACACGTTTGACTGCAGCCAGGAGTCGCCAGCCTACGCGAGATGGCTGAACTCCATGGTGATGTCGCCACTGGCACAGGAGCCAGGAGCATCACGGGTACTTGCTGAACCAAGCACACTAAAGAGCAGAGCGAGGTGTGACACCCGACGCCCAGCCTCAGGAATGAGCAGAAACCACTTACGTGCAGAAGACAGGAGAAGCTATATCGATCATCATTTCATCAGCGCTTGACGAAGGAGGTAGTCAAGTGACAAGAGCTGAAGGAGCTGAGACACCCAAGTGTGCAGAGAGGTCTCTGAAGCAGGAAGACTCGGGCTGCCTTGGGTAGGGCTGGATTTTAGACAGCTGCAGAGTGCATCTTCATCAGCCAAACAACCTCCTGTACAGCCCGAGCAGCCTGCAGAGCAGCGGGTACTAGGAGCACATGAGGTTGTTGGCAGAGTACCACCGAATGGCACACAGTGATTTCAGGGTGGTGCCCGGGACAGAAGATTCTAGTTGTGCTTTTGAAAGGACAGTGAGGAAGAGCATTACACCAGGGTCGGGGACCCATTCCATGCAGCTAATGGAAGGAAAGAAAGTTAATAGAATCCAGTGGAGACCAGAGATGTGGTATTACCTACTCTCAGGGCTTCTAGTTACCACAGACAGCGCTGATTCTGTTTCCAGCCTGGCTCACCCATGCTTTCTCCATAAACCCTGAAACGCACCTACTTGTAGCTTTCTACCACCAGCCCTGTGTGTTTAGCTGGTTCTGCTGCATGTGGTGAAAACCCAACTCCAAGTCACCTTGTGATTTTCCAGTCCCGCCCCTCTCAACTCTGCTAGAAGCCTAGGTTGATATGAAATGCTTCCAAATTTTTTAAAATGGGAATTTATTATATATCTAATTTCTGGACTGACTTTTTCATTGACCCCATTGTTACTCCCATACTATACTGCTGTCATTGTTGTGGCTTTATGTACATGGATACATTTCAGTAGCCACCAAGCAAATCTCCCTCCCTGGATTTGCTCCGCCTATTCTTTTCCTTAAGTTAGTTTGAACTTTTAGGGTGATTGCACTTAATTTATAGAATAGCTTAGGGGAAAAGTATGTTTTAAAAATATTCATCTGTCCAGTAATGGGATGGTGTTTTTATTTATCTCAAGTCTTACTTAAGAGTATAAGTAGGACGTCTAAAAAATATTATTGTCTTTATTTGAATCCTTCTACTTCTAAGTAAATCTGCATGGAGAGCTGGGAAGAGCCTGGGATTTTATTCTCTCTGCAAGCGAACAGTGTCATGGATGCTGACAGATGACAGGCAAATCCTAGGTAAAGGACACAGCCTGTCACAAAAGCTCCGTGTTCCCACTGGCTTCTCTTGTCCAAGTGCCATGTACTGCAGTGAGTTTATCACAGCGGAGGGACTCTAACCTTAGGGAACACCATGGACAGGTCATGGCTAGTGTCCCTGAGCTAGTGATAAAGAGTGAGAGGAATAAACCAGATGGGAACAAAGAGCTTTCCAGGCCAATACAGCTACCTGTGCAAAGGCCTTGTGGTGAGCAGCAGGCAGCGTGGCAACCTGAAAGGGGGTGTGTCATAACTTTATTATCTTCTAGCTAGTGGGGATGAGGAGCACTAGCCTGCTTCTTTTTCCCGCTGTCAGTGACCTATTGGTTCTGCCTAAAGGCTTGTATATTTTTTTCTTTGCTTTTGAATACATTATTTTCATTAGGATTTGTGTTCATTTAAAAAATTTTTCTTAAGGCTTCTTACATTTGAGTATATCTATTAGTTTGAAGTTTTCTTTAAACTCATGAAACAATTTGATTGTGCTTCCATAGTTACGTTCTGCCTAACAAAATTCCATCTGTCTTATTTCCATTGTGTTCCAGGCTTGGGTCCCTTCCTTATTTTCAGTATTTATCTTCACCAGGTTTACTTTTTTGTTCATGCCTTAGTTTTAGAAAAGGGGGGCTTTGGAGTGCCTGCATTTTGCCACCACCTTTTCCAAAATGTCTGTTATTGAAAGAACCACTTGATAAGTGCTTCCCCAAACTTTTCTCTCCGTTACTGGGGATCAAACCCGTGCACGCTAGGCAAGTGGTGTACCACTGTGCTGTATCCCTAGTCTCAGACTCTGTAAAATTATTCCGAGGAGGTACTTAGAGAATCCCCAATGGTTACAATAAATTCATTCGTATTCGCCTGAGGAACCCCACTACTTACAAGTGTTCACGTTTGTAACAAACAGCAGATTCCTGGTCAGCGGATGAAATACTCTCAGTAGCCCAGGAGCGATGAGCTAAGGAGACTGTGGGGGACTTCCTCACACATCCCCCAGAAATGGTTTCTGGGGCTCCATGGGTATGAAATTCACTGATCAGATTTAGTCACCCTGAAAGGACCACTGCAGCCTCCAAGACAGCCGGCCACAAAGGCAGGAAGAGCAAAGCAGTGCAGATCCCGGCTTGTCCTCACAACAGGGAAAGGGAAGCAGGGCATCCAAACACCCAGTGTAAAAGGTGGTCCCCTTGCCCCTGGAAAAGGTTTTGACAGAATGAAATCTCTTCAAAAAATTAAGTGTAATTTTAGATGATACCAATTTTGGTCAGATTTACTCGTATTAGATGTTTGTTGCCGTTTAAATATTTTTCTGTGACGATATTGGTACGTGGAAATAAAATTGCTATTTTGTTTAAAAATTCTTAGGTTGCTGTGCTGATTAATTTGCTGCTCTTTCTTTACTTTTCAAAAGCCATTGATAAGAAGAGTTTTACAAGGGAGTGTCTCAGCAAAGCATTACAACTCACGGTAAGGGAACTGAGCCTCAATCTCACAAGAGAGGGAAGAAGTTCAGGGCCTTTGCTCAGGATGAATTTTTTTCTTTTACTTTTGATCGTAGTATTTGCAACACACTAAGTCTAGGAACAAATTGTTTTGTGTGCATGTTAATAGGTTTGTGTTCACTGAGCATAATTCACTTACTCTAAGATGCCTTTAATTATATCACATGTAATTATTGTATAGACTGCTAAGAAAGAAAAAAATGCTCCTTGTGGAGTTCTGACATTTTTTAAAGTACTATAGGGTGTCTTCTGATTTCAGAGATGTAATATTTGAAAAAACATGCATCTTAGAATCAGTGAGATAAGACATTTTTCTTAAACTCACAAAGATGGGGGAAATTGACATCCTGAAGAGCTGGTTCCTCGATCAGATATATTTAACAATGCATTCAATACATATAGTTATACTTCAAAATTCTGTTTGCTACACAAGAACAATGTCAAGATCAAAATTATTGATAGAATACTGTTGCTATTCAGAGCTAATGCTCTAAATAAGTAACTTGAAATTTGTAAGTGGTACTCCAAATTTCCCCATCATCTTTTTAAGCATTTCAGCTATTTAATATTTTCTGCCCAGGGCAAAGCCCTCTGTCCCTGCCTCGTTACCCAGGTCAGGTGTGTGGACTTCTCCCTTCTTCTTTCCCGACTCCTCCTGCAGCCTTCTGAGCAAAAGCCATTTTCATCTGAAGATTTCAGTAATCCTTACAAAGGACTTTAATCGCCTAACCTCACCCCTGAAATAAAGTCTCAAGTTCTGCCTCACTCATCATAGGCATAAACATTCCAGAAAATCTGACCACTGAGTTCATGATAACACTATGTTCTCTGGGTCGGGGCTGATCAGTTGCCCCTTGCTTCAGCATTTAGGTATGTCTGCATAAGAAATATTGCTAATGCTATGCTAAGATTATTACAGCATGCAAGGGATCTCTACACAGGATTGTATGTGGTGAACAAATCCCACTCTCTTTGACTGGGTAGCATTTTAGCATGTGTCTGTCTATTTTTTTTAACCATATAAATTTTACCTAGCTGAGATCATTTTTATGCACAATTTGAAATGCTTGTTTCACTCGACATCATGATATGCAAAGAGTGTTGCTAATGGCTTTTAACCAGCTGATTTTTTTATTCTTTTTCTGTTAACAGTTCCCTTATTACTTGTTATTTGAGTTGTATCTATTTTATTTTTCCAACTCTAACACTAAAATGAACACTTCTCTCTATAAATCTCTGCCTGCATTTTGATCTAAGGACATCATCAACTTTAAATACATTTGATTTAAATATATTTAAATACATTTTGCTAAATTTCTTCCAAGGGAAAAAGAGGTTATAATAATTTATAATCCAATCGAAGGGAAAGGTGTAAATTCAAAGAATGGCTGTTTATCAAATACAATTATCAAAATAGTCCAAAGTTGAATTGAGAGGCTGAGACACAACGTTGCCTTGTCATCTTGTTGTGGGTGACATTAGTCGTTTGGAACCAGGAATCTATTCCCTTCCCCATCCAGCCAGTGCCTTCCCCTCCTCCCTCCTCCCCTGGAAAGTTACTCTCCTTGAAATGACACCAAGGGCCAAGGCCAACGCTCCTGATGGTTTCCGGCTCTCCCCCGGCTGGTCCTTCGCTCCAGCAGGTGGTACATAGTTCCCAGGTCACCAAAGCGGATCTGCATTGGCCTTGCACGCACACAAACACTTCTGTTTTTGTGTTCTTTTATGTCTGGACTCGTTCTTAGCACCTTGTCTGCCTGTGAGCACTCCGTCACCGTACTCTGTAAGACTGGCACCCGCCGAGATGCAGGCCCAGGGGGTCACAGGCAGGAAGAGAGGGCGGCCGCCCCTCCACTCCACGCCTAGGAAGATGCCAGTTCACAGCCTTTTCTCTGCTTCTGCTGCCTCTCTACCAGCACTGAAGATCCCAAAGAAAAGAGGGCGGAAACCGGGACACCAGGTACGGCTCCCTCATCACCTTCTGCAGAGTGGTACTAGGCTGGGAGGCGTGGGAGCTTGGGCAGAACCCAGGGCAACCTGCAGAGGAAGAGGAGGAGCTTGGCAAACCCAGGGTAAGAAATGAGTCACTCTGTGAGGTGAGTGAGTGACTGAGGTCCCGCTGTGGTCCCGTTGTTACCATGCTTTCGGTCGGGCCCGTGCGTTTCCACAAGAAGGGAAAGCAGATGACAGCAGATGGGGAGGCTGTGAGGCAGGCAGACTTGCGGGTCAGAGCTAAACACGTGTTATTGGACCTTGCTCGGAGAGGGTTCACATGAGTGTTTCAAACACCAAACTTTTTCCAGTTCTTACTCGGGGTTCTCAAAGCCACTTTCCAGAGCTCCTTTGTCATTCTCTTCAGCGGAAGCAGACGATGCTGCCAGGATACTGAAATTAATCATTAAAAATAATAACATAGCATCAAAGAATGTAGAAGAGCCTTCTCAGACAGCCTCAACTCTGACTCAAGGGAAATTCAGGGAGTGAATTCGCAGTTTCCCCACTTATAAAAGGTGCTGACATCAAATCTGGCTACAGGAAGCAGATCAGGCAGAGTTAAAACCCTGTGAACCTTTCAGGAATTAACAACGCTCTAAAGAGGCCAAGGGTGGAGAATCAAGCCTCTGAGGTAACTGCATCCACCCAAACCAGGCCAAACCCACGGAGCAGGCAGCTCCTTCCCTAGGATGAGTTTCGAAGGGGCCACTAGAGGAGAATACAAAGCTTGTTCTTCACAAGCCACTCAGGCACTGGAAAATGTGTTTCAGAGCACATTTTCTTTGAAATCAAGGTTTCATTTCCACCTAAAGACTTGAATACTGAAACCAAAATGCAAATCGGTAATGAATTCTCATATAGTTAGGAAAACGTATGGCAATTATTTCAGGTCAGCAGAAAAAGCTGCTGGAAGAGTTGATGATGAATTGGATCTTTATCCCTTTGGTTCTCCCAGTTCTTTCAAATGCTAGAAAGTAAAAACAGTAGAGAGAAGATTGGTTACTCAAAGTTTTTAAAATAGCTTTTACGCAGGCAAGTCACGAGGCAAAGTCTCTGTCGCTGGTTCTTTCTCTCACAAAGGGGACCTCCTTTGTTCCCGGCATGCCAGCTTCAGAATTGTATCTCTGAAGGGGCGGGCACTAGGGCAGCCGTCACCATACCTGTGTCATGGCAGGCATCTGGGAATTGCACCTGAAGGGCTGGAGCGGGGCAACCCTTCTGTCTATAGACCCAGGGAGTGAGTCCAGGCTCTGAAGAAACACACTGAAAACCTCACTCTTCTGTTTAGCTCTCTTCCTACTCCCCTGGGGGCTGTGACCCCAAAATGAAAATTACCAACAGGCACAGAATTTCTGGGGCCAGAGAGAGGGGAAATTTGCTCCCTGGAATGGACCTGATTTTGAAATTTTTCTGTCTCCACAAAAGGGCAGTTTTCAGTGCTCTTGACACACAGACAGTCCTCAAACAGGACAAAAGCTTTTTTTTTTTTTTAATTTTTTTATTTTAAAGAGTAAAAGAAGGACAACATAATAATAGGGGGGACTTACCAAATTACAGACAAAATGGTAGGAAATTATCAATGGTTATTGTTTTACATATTGTTATCTACAAAATAGTTTCTCAGGAAAACAAATAGACAAATAATAGTGAGTTAGAGACAAAAGAGGTAGGAGATTATCAAGAGTTGTTGTACTATACTTTGGTATCTTCAAAGTGGCTTCTAAAGAAAATAAATAGAGCTATACACGAGTGACCTATTGAAAAATCATTAACTCTTCTCAATGGTTGTTGTAGGAAACACATAATAATAAATATACATCCATTTATGAAATAGGATAGGAACATTATAAACTTTACACAGTTATGGATAGATTAGTAGGGAAATATCAATGGCTGCTGTAATACATGGTGGTATCTTCAAAGTGGTTTCTCAGGAAGACAGAGATATGCAAGAAGGATCTAATAAGTAGTTACAGCCTAAGGGTTGTCAAAAATAGCATATTACCTCCTCACCAGTGACTCCTTTCACTGAGGTATGACGGCTGGAAGGGAGGCCAGGATTGAAAAGAAGGACCGAGAGACTTGCACCTGTGTCTAGCAACAGGCTGTTTTCTTGTTCCTCCATAGTCATGATTACCCAGGGCACCTTGATGGAGATGACGGTCTGGCCAGAGGGAGAAGGCAGGACAAAAGCTTTTGGGTTGGTTGCCCGACAGTAGAGGCCCTGCAGAAGGCAAGCAGGTCTGTTCTCATTTCCTCACAGAATTTCTTTTCTGGGAACAATAGGCCGTAGCTCTTTTTCTCATGGGAAGAGGGGATTCTGTTCTTATACATTTAGGAAAATATGTGGAAATTATTTCAGGCCAAGAGCTTCTGGACAGCTTCTCAAACCATGAGCTTAGTGTCCTACAATAACTCCGTATGGTTGGCATGATGCTTCCACCCATTGATCATGACATGAAAAAAATAAAGACCATTTTGTCTTTAAAAAGCCAACATGACCCCCCTTGAAGGATGATCCTTTATTCTCAAATATATCTGCTTCCTATTGTTTTAGGTGGTAAAACATTGTTTTAATCAGTGTTGTATGCTGATAGGATTTGGTAAATTTTTTAAAAAGTTCTTAGTTGGCAAAATAAAGTCAGAAACCTATTAAATCTCCCTAGTTTTCTTTTGACAATTTCCTAGACCCTGATGCCCATTTTGCCACTAATGGAAGGACTTTAATTGTGGAGAAGCCAGGAAGGAAATGGTACAGTCTCACTCCATTTACCAAGTGGCCACTAATTTGGCGATTTGGTCTATCTGCGGCATAGCTGGGGAGCCAGAAGTTGTTAAAAAGAAAAATCCTGACCAAGTGAAAGAAGAGTCTTGTCTACCTTCGTCATGAATACATTTCTTACAGGCTCAGTTCTGGCAGTTCGTAGCCTGACGTTGGAAGGCGAGGGTATTTGGGGAGAGAGAATTGCACACCCAGCTGGGCTCCGGCAGGGTAACAATAATCACTATTATAACCTAATGGTAATATGATAACAATAGAGAACAACAAAACAGTGACATTGATGTTATAAACTCATAAATAGTAGTTTCCTGTACCAATCATAACATTATTATAATGATATTAACAATATTATCATATAGAAAAAAATGTGATTTTGAGCTTTGGGTGGGCTCTGCGCCTGGAGGTTTTGAGGGTACATTGTTGTCCCAAGTATGTCCTAAGTCTGTGCTGGTGACATTTGTCACTTCCTCCCTCTGTGTCTCTGTGCCTGGGGGAGTTCTCTCTGGTTCTAAGTTGGGTTCGAGCTTTTCTCCTCAAGCCCAAGCGGAGTTAACAGTGGTGACGTTTCACGCTTCTCTGCGTCTCTGAGGATAACATAAAATCATATATTTATGCTTTTGCCAGAAGAGCCCCTCTCTGCCATCAAAATAGCCTTCTTCGTTTGCAAACACAACATTTAGCTCTTAGTTTGAATCAGCTGCTTGGTGCAGGTCCTTAGCCTAAGATTCCCCAAGATCCATGGGAAAATGTCCTTGCATTTCATGACTAAGAAGACCAAGGTCTTTTTAAAGAGACAGGAGGGTCTGCTTCAAAGAGAAACCCTTGCTGCCTTTCTGTAGGTAGAGCTGATTCCAATGTCTCCAGCCAGTGGAATTTCCATCTTATCGGCCAAGACTGTGAATTGGGTAGCAGCTTTTGAAAACAAAAAAAAAATTAGTTTTTTGTGCTATTCATAATATAACAGCTACAGACATGACACATTTTTTTTTTTTACATTTAATCAGCATGTAAAACATTTCCTTCATCACTTGAAGCCTACAAATAAGCACAATGCTAAACCCAGTCCTAACTGGTAGCATTCACCAGATTCCGAGGTGATCATATTCTCCACCTGGCCAATTTTGCACTGCCAACTATGGGATGCCTGATCATGGGCTGGGGAAAGATCCTCAGTACCACTCTCTTGGCAGAAAGATGCAAAGTAAAATAACTAGAAGGTGATGAGTTCTGAGTATGCATCGCTACTACTTAGCTGCAAATTTATACACTGCAGTTTTTACTAATGACTGGGTTTAATAATCAGCTTGCAATATTCCTAAAAGTTCAGCATCCGTGTCTTACTAATATGAGCCACCGCCAGCACCCCACTGCTCAGAGTTCTGCTGGGCAAACGATGCCTGTAGCTACCTGTCTGATGTCCCCTCTGCCAGCAGCAGGGCTGATCCTTTTGATCCTGTGGTTGCAGGTGCACAGAACTTGGCCCCCTTAGCAGTTTGAGTAAGAAATCCAATCAGACCAAGCACTCCTTAAAATGTGTGGTTTCTCCTAGAGATGGCTGGGGTCACAGGCCCTGGTGGATGGCAGTTCATTCAGCGATTCTTGTGGATGCATCTACTTCTCTCTGAATTCCACTTCATCGGGTCATGGTTATTCCCTTCTTGCTCCTGGTACCCATGGAGTGCAGTGTCCTTGTTTCCTGCTTAGCTTAGGAGGAAATTAGACCGTGCTTCCCCACTCAGGCAGAGCAGCAGCGCAGCCTGTCTCCTCATGAGGTTCAGCACCTCTCTGGAGGCAAAGGCGAAGCTCAGCCCAGCACAGGAGAGAGAAATGGCCAGCATGCTCATCCTACCCCACCACATCTGTACCTCTGAAAGGCACATTCTGCACCGCTCACCCACCTCCAAGCATTCTCTGACTTCACTTCACACTCTGACTTCCACAGTATGTTGTTTTTGGACAGCCTTATTTTCCTAGGGAAGTTTTAGTGCGAAGATTATTTAATTAGGACCCCAGATCTGACCAAAACCGTCTTCAAGGCCAAAGGATACTGGCCCTCCCAGCTCTCGGGTGTTAAGTGTCCAATCTCTCCCCATGTACAGGCGTGAGAGGCGTGGGTGGACCCAACTGCAGGCTGACTCCTAGGAATGGAATTAGGTCACTGGCCGCAAACTCCTTGTTGTGGG